CTGTGGAGGGGGGGGCTGGTTATCAGAGAGAAGAAGGTAAGGACCGTAGTTTTAGAAATGAAGTGAGCATGTGAAGGGACATCCAGGGGACACATTTCTTTTTTTGCATTATTTAGTCTCGTCTTTTTGACTTAAAGGGGACCTATTATGCAAAATCCACTTTTTCATACGATTTATACATAAACATGTGTCCCCTCTGTGGAAAGACATTCTGAAAGTTTCAGGAGAAAAATATTTGCTCTCTTTTTGTCCTGATCTATTTATATAAAAACCTGTCTGAAAATGAGCTGATCAGATTTTGGCCCACATAAAGATGTCAAAAAGATTTTGGCTTGTGTAGCCATTAGCCAATCACTAACCAAGGTAACACCCCCCCCACCTTATCACCTGAATCTCCTCCTAAAGCACCATTGTGTTCTTCGACTGTGGCTGTGAGGGAGTGTGGTCGTCTTTCAACCAGAAGGTTGTGGGTTTGATCCCAGCCCATGCAGTCAACATGTCGATGTATCCTTGGGCAAGATACTTAACCCTGCAAGTTGCTCCCGATGGGCATGGCAACGGTGGTGAATGTGTGTGAATGTTAGGTCGTAGAGTAAGGTAGCAACTGGCTCTGTATGCAATGGGTGTGAAATGGTGACATGACATGTAGTATGTAACAGCGCTTTGAGGGTCTTAGAAGACTGGATACTAAGCGCTAATAAGTTATAGCGTAACCATTAGCCCATCTCTTTAACGCGCTGTAAGCCCAAGACGGCCCTTCGCGGTCTTTCTAAAATAAACATTGGCACGACACTAGTGTCTCGTGGGCATCTTAATATTATAAAACTATTAATTGTGGCAATACCAGATTAACGGAAGTACTCGAGCTAAAGCTGACGATACCACAACCATTTTACCAACAAAACCGAAGTCTCAAGAACATCTCTAAATGACAACGGCCTGAGGGCGAAAAAATGCTAAAGCAATTTTGGGCACATAACTCAAGATAAAGATACCCTATTACTTATCGTAACTGGCACATACAAAGGATACCCGATTAAAGCTGAGACTACCACAGATTATGAGTAGGTTATAGGTATCATCACTGAGGGATCCGAAACTCGCGGGAGAGGCGCGAGACACAAACGTCACAACCACGTAGAATTACGGAGCAATAGGACACCCGTCTCACCGTAGCTTGGTCTTTCTGATCCAAAAGTCTTGTCAATGGCATTAAAAAATAACCAGGGGGGGAAAAAACGCGGCTGATGGTCAAGTCGCATAGGTTAATTGAATGTGTCTGGTCACTTGTTGAAAAAAATCGTTTAAAGTCCATAAGTTCTATTTGCTATGGGAGGAAATCGGAGGAGTAAAAGTTAGCGTGCTTAATGTAGCCACCCAGACGTTATCGCAGCTTCCGGTTTTGGCTTTATGCGGCGGCGCTCACTCCTGTATCTTGGTAATATGTGTGTGTATGTGGGATTCCCCTAGATTCCATTGGCTTCCACCGGTTAAAAAGGACAATGCTCAATCACAAAATCACAAGGGGGGCCAGAGATATGGAAAATCCACCAAACTGATCCCAGAAGTGGTTTTTTTGTGCTAAATCTGTCCTAAAAAGGTCAAATGTCACTGTTTTGCATCAATCCTTTATATGTTGTAGGTTTGATTCCTAAAGCTTTTAGTTTTACCATCCCATCATTCAAGGGATGATGTCACTTATAAGAAATTCTTTTTTGGACGGACCACACTAATTTACACATTTTATTACTGTGCTTCAATCTGGAATTTACTGTTAAATAAAACATCTATATTGATTCTGAACCACTTCTACATCCACTCACAGATGTACTTGCTTTGAGAAAAAATATATTAATTCAACCCTTTTAGAAGGGAAGATATGGTCATTTGTTCTGGGAATGTCATTTTCGAGCCTGAGACTGAAAAACAGGCTCACGGCCTAACAAATAT